AGTTTGATGTTTTAATAGCTGAGAATGGGTTTTTTTAATGAGGAATGTTGCTGTCAAAACACAATCTGTCCTGAATTTGATTGGAACACGAGACTGGAAATAGAGAGACCTTGCCACATTTAAAAGGTGTTGACGTTTACCCTCCACAACCGAGTTTTGTTGTGGTCTCTCAACACAATTAAATAGGTGTAAAACTCCATTTTCCGCAAAGGATTCAGTACATGCAAGTTCTGGAGCGTTATCTGATCTGAATACCTCAATTTTAGTATCAAATTGAGTTGCCACCATATTAAAGAATTTCGGAGATGACATCAGATTTCTGCTTCAATAGGTAAATCCATGTGAATCTAGAGCAATCATCAACCAATGTTAAAAAATATCTATATCCCGTGTAAGAAGGAACGTGATAATGGCCCCAAATGTCACAATGTATAAGGTCGAATGGAGAGCTTGAACGATGATTATTCGATTCAAATAACAACCTTCTTTGTTTTGCAAGAGGGCAAATGTAATAAGGAACACTCTATTGAATTTGTTAACATCACATAACAATTAATTTTTCAAGCTATCCAACCTTTTAAAGGAAAGGTGGCCGAGTCTATTGTGTCAAACATGAATGGAAACATTATTTACATAAGCATTCGAAGCTGAATTCAGAACCTTTGTATCAAGTACATAGAGATCTTGCACTTGATCACCCCTGCTAGTCATCTTCTTGATGTTGGTTTCCTGAATTATAAAATGGTCAGGAAAGAAACTGATGGTAAGCCGCGAGTCACATGTTAAGGCACTAACAAATAAGAAGTTGTACTTGAATTGTAGCACAAACAGAACATTTTGCAGCACAAGATTTGGGATTAATCTGATGTCTCCAGATAATCTAACTGGAATTTGTGTATGATTTGGTAGAGTGACAGTTGAATTGTCAATGATTCTCAATGTCATAAAGGCAGGCTGCAATAGAACATATGTGTCTAGTAGCGCCCGAATCTACTATCCAAATATCTTTGGATGAGAAAATAGGATGCATAGATATTGAGGAACATATACCTGCAATATATGAAGTGGTTGCAGTATCCTGTTGATCTATCGTGTTTGAGCTTGACGACAAGTAAGTAGATAGCATAGACATGAGTTGTTGATACTGATTCAAGCTTAAATTCTGGACAAAACTTCCAAGTCCATGCCCAGGTTCTTTGTCTTCATTCTGAGAAACAAAAGAAGTTGAAACCTGGTTAATGGAATTAGAACGAGAAGCATTTTGGAAACTATCCCTTTGTCTTGGTTTATAGCCCTGTGGATATCCATATATCTTATAGCATTTGTCAATGGAATGTCCATGAAAATTACAGTGAGCACAAAATGATCTTTCCTTTTTTCTTGATAGTTCCAGTGCTTCCAATCCTTGAGTTGCTGATGTTAGTTCCAAAACTGCTATTTCCTTTACTGTTTTCCATTTTGAAGGCAAAGGCCATGGCTCCACTTGAATCAGATCCAGATATATTTATCTTTCTTTGATGTTCCTCTTGAGATATCAATGCAAACACCTTATTTATGGGAGGCATAGGATCCATAAGCAAGATATGTCCTCTAACTTGGGAGAATGAATCATGTAGCCCCATGAGAAATGATAACATGTATTCCATTTGATAGTGATTGTTCAATTCCTTCACACCACCACACGTACACTTCCCACAGTTGCAAGTAGGTCGATAATTGCTCAATTCTTCCCAAACAGTCTTAAGTTTAGTGAAATAAACATTGACATCGTTTTGGTCTCGAACCAAATTCATCAATTCCCTACGCAACTGAAATATAAGTGGTCCATTTTTCTGTTGAAACCTATCTTTGAGATCAATCCAAATTTCATAAGCCGAAGTAGCATAAATCACACTAGCTAAGATTTCTTTCGACACAGAGTTCAAAATCCAAGATATTACCATTTTATTGTTTCTAATCCAGGAATTAAGTAGATCAGGATCAGTACCTTCAAGCTTGGTTATAGATCCATCAATAAAACCAAGTTTATTCTTTATCGATAAAGCTATGGTCATCGCACGGCTCCAAGAGGCATAGTTATCTCCTGTAAGTGGCTAAGAAACTAGAATTAAACTTGGACTATCAGAATGATGGAGGAAATATGGACTAGAAGGTTTATCAATGGCCGATTTATTTGATATTGATCTCGTATCAAGTCGATCCATAGATTGTGATGACTCATTTTGATGATCGTATTAGAAATTAGAACAGTTGAATCAGTAAATCTAACTGTGATTAACTGAGATTCATCAATGAAGTAGAAGATAATGATGTACGCAGGAAGCTTTGCGCTCTGATACCATTTCAGATGTAAAAGAGAGAGAGAGAGAGAGAGAGAATAGACGAGCTTGGAGAGACGAATTATTTCTATTCAACTCATCTGAAAATTACATGTGTAGTTGCTATAAATAGCTTACAACTCAAGATCAATTATAGAAAGCCAACTGGATACTTGACTGACTTTAACAGACTAACAACCAAACTAACTATACACAAACAAATTAACTAAACTAACTGTAAACAAACTAACTATATACAATACGAGCTAATAAGCCTTTGCTTGGTTTAGTTAAAAATCAGATTTTTAGTGAATTTTGATAAAGGTTAATGAAATGTATGGACGAAAAGTTGTAGGTCCCATGAAATGCCTGAATTGAAATGAGTTTGAATAAAAATGAGGGCTAAACATGGGAATATTTATTTTTATGGGAACATATGACACGTACAATTTCTATAAAAAGGTGACAGTGAAATGATACTCCATCTAAAAGCTAAAATTTTGTGGAGTACAAATTTATTTTTTGAAGTTTTGTCAATGATAGGTAGGGATACCACAAGTACTACTCTAACATGGTTTTTCTGGCTAATTGCCTCAAATCCCCGGGTGGAACTCAAGATATTGGAAGAGATTCAAACAAACTTTCACGACAAAGAAGACAAAACATGCAAGTTTTTTAATGTAGAAGAATCTCGAAAATTAGTCTACCTCTGGAACACAAATCACCAGTTCGACTAGACATCCTCCCAAGTGGTCACTGTATCCCTCAAAATACTAAAATAATACTATTCTTTTATTCAACAAGAACTGGAAGGATGGAGAGAATATGGGGCAAAGATTGTTTAGAGTTCAAGCTGAAGAGGTGGATTTCCGAGCACGGTGGAATAAAGCATGAACCGTCGTTCAAGTTTCCAGCATTCAATGCTGGACCAAGAACCTGCATTGGTAAGGAGATGTCTTCTGTGCTAATGAAAATAGTGGCAGCAACTATTATATATAATTACATTGTCCGACTGGTGGAAGGTCAATCATTTTCTCCTTGTGATTCTGTCATAATTCAAATGAAACATGGTTTAAAGGTCAAGTTATCCAAAAGACATGCCTAATACCAGTACATCACAACAATAAGAATATGTAGATGCTGAATGCTTTTGGAAGAAAGGCACTAAAAAATATTGATATTTTACCTAAATATTATTATATAATGTGAAAACTAAAGTTCAACTTATGTCTTAAAGTTTGTTACATGTAACATACTATGAATTAAGTGTGTGTTTGAGCCACATTATTTTGAAAGAATGTATTTTGGAATAGTAGATTGATGTAGAATGTACAGTTAAAAAAGAGGAAAAGTTTTAGATTTGTGTGTAATATTATTTTATTGAAAAATGTGTGATTGAAATGATATCAAATCACTATTTAAGAATACGGCTCAAACAGGACCTAAGTAAATACTAGCAATAGAGTTTTTAAGGCTTGACTTAGATATAAAAAAATCAAGGTTCCACAATCATTGAGGAACAACAAATATCTTACTTCACAAAGGTAGCAAAACTTTCATATTAGTGTTTGGTTTAGCTAAAATAATTGACAAAAATATAAATTAAGGTCAATAGTTAATTTAACTACACATTGCTTAGAATTCACAACTTTTGTCAATTTTTTAATCGTACATTTGATCCACTTTTATCAAAATCTACAAAAAAAATCTGATTTTTAGCAAAACCAAATATGGGCTAACTATTATAATCAACCAAGTTGCATATAGACTTGTTATTTGACTATAATTAAACTGAGAATTGAAAAATATCCCATTACCATTAAAATTAGTAGCACCCGCATTTGTATTTTACATAAATACACCAATAAAATAAATTATCACAAAAATATTGTGGAATGTTATTTATTTCAAAAACATAGTGTCATATTACATAGGTTGGCTCAGCCCCATCATTGAGGGGTGAGCGTTGGCCTCATCACTTAAAGCGAGGCTCAGCCTAAGGTTTCATCACTTAGACCAAGACTCATGAGGGTCAACGTTAGGCTTATCACTTAGAGCAAGGCTTACCCAATCCAACCAGGACTCCATGTAAGATGGAGGTATAACACAACTAAAACCTATATTATTTTTGAAGACCGACACTGGGGGAGAGCACAACAAAGTTATTAAAGAGTAGAGAACGTACTTAATTCTTTAAAAAATAATAAATTTGAGAACTAATTGAAGCAAAGTATTGAATTAATCCAATACTGCTGGTTATCCATCAATCATGCAGATTCCATGTCCAATTGACATAATCATATCATATTGTTTAATAGTGATGCATCGATACAAGCACTCAATTATATGTATATTAGTGTCCCCCAAAAGAGAGTCAATTTTAGCATGGATTTGAGTGACAAAATATGATAATTAGAACAATATTTGGCTAGAACTATGCAAAATTAAGAACAAAAAACCCCGAGGATTTTCTTAATCCTACATATGAACTTATTGATAGTTTCTTGATGTAACTGAAGCAATTAAATGATTTTTTGTTGGGTCAACCTCAAAAATGGATGTAGTAGTCAAAAAGTATAATCCATTGCATCAATTTTCTTTGATAATCAAATTAGAATCGTTGATTACTTGAACATTTTAATTCTAATACATATGCATCCAATGTAACTGAGATACAAACAATGAAAAAACGACAGAAATTGTATAAATATTTCGTGTTTTAGAAAGACAAATAAATGTAAAAGTAAAGATCCTATAATATTACAAACATACTACTAAGAAATAACATCACATCATCACTACAATATGGAACTATCACAATATCATGAAAATTGAAAATATTTAACCACCACCACACAATTTTAATTCTAAAGGAATGCTTATTTATCTTCAACCAGAAAATACTACTACACTATTTAATTTCACCTGCCATCGCCGATAATCTCCTGAAGAATGGGTTTCGAATCAGTGATAGGTGAATAAGATGGATTTGTGGTTGCCCTGCTTGTTACATTTGATGGATTGCACTGACTAATATCGGATCTTGAAGTTGAACTCTCTGTGTTCGACATAAAGGTTGTTGCATCCCTAAATTTCCAGTCAGTCAGGTATCCAGGCTTTGAAGTGACTGGGGGCACCTCAATGTCTCCAGAAAGCATTGACACCACACGTGACATTGAAGGCCGCAAACCAGGTGATGTTTGACTGCACATAAGAGCGATTCCTATAATTCTTTTTACTTCGTCCTCATTCACTTCGGATAATGTTCTGTCAACAAGTTCCATTTCTTGGTTTGTCTCATGAAGATTCCAAGCCTGCAAGCACATCGTATTGAAATTAGTAACCACCAAGTCAAAGATGGTGGAAAACATAGAATGACATTTGAAAGTTCAACTACAGAGATGTGCAAAATTAGGTTTTGCATACACAGAGAAACTAGAATTCTTTTTCTCATCCCGTCGCCTCTCACTTGATCCATTAGCTAAGAAGAAAGGCGGTTAAAATGAAGGAAGATGAGTTCTTTTATCACTTAGGACCTGTCCAAGAAGAGAATTCCTACTCCTGAGAATTTGGAAGGGAAAAGGGGACCTTCCCAAATATTATATTGGGTTGTAAAGAACTGACTTCTTTATGTTGAATCTTGCGCCAAAGAGAATGTGAGAGCTTTTTCAAGTCGCATCTTTCTTTCTGTACTTGGTATAGCTTTGTCATTCCATTCCCAGACAGTGAACTAAGGGAGAAAATAAGAGGATGAGCCTCAGAAGGCTTAATCTCAGCGATGAGGCCTCTTGTATCTAGCCTATCTCTAATCCCTTCAATCTTTTGATTTCTCCATACAAAGAAAATTGTACAATTTTATTATTTTCCACCAGGAGGAAATTACACAACATTGATACAAGTGGAAACAAAAGGAGCAAAAAGTAAGGAATAAAATACCTAAATGAACAAGGGTAAAAACAAGCATATTCATTAGAAAGAATTTTAATATTATGTAATTACTTTCTCAACACTCAACCACGCTAGTGCACCTCTCACCTAGGCTTAGTTCCCATGACTATAATATTTAAATGGTTAATACTCCAAGTAGATGTTCATTTCTCTCGGATTCCAAACAAAAGGAAATTTCCGTACCAGATATCTACCACAAACAAATGAAGTTGAAAAGTTAACAATGAATCAAACTGTAATACAAGTAAAACTCCTACTATTTTGTCATTGCTGCCAGAATTAAAACTGCAAATAAGAGTAGAAAACTGATATTTTGAAAATTTTATCCATAACTTCAAGTGTGGATTGAAATGTTGGTAAAATTTGTAAACTAGGATACAATTTCCTTTTGCTAAGTTAATCATAGCCAATAATAATAATAATAATAATAATAATAATAATAATAATAATAACAATAAAATCATTGAAGAAAACATGGAAAGATGAAACATTTTAAAATCTAATGATATCCGGGGTTTTTATAAGATTATTAAATTCTAAAGGATCAATAAGCACAAAGGTTCAAAATGCAAATAGACCATACCCATTCAAGAAGATACATTTTATCGTCTTCCAAACTTGAGTCAGAATTCGGCCTTCCAGTGACAATCTCTAGAGCTACAACTCCGAAGCTAAATACGTCTGCTTTCTCAGTAAGGTGTCCACGCATGGCATATTCAGGTGCAAGATACCCACTATATGAGTGAAACATGAAAACTCAGCAATAAATCCACCCTGCTAGCCTACGTATAAACTGGAACTGTAGTCCACTTAACAAAAGATTAATACAGAACGAAGGAACATTATAGATTTATAAATTTTGTGGGTTATACATTGTTCCAGCAACACGGGTGCTTATATGGGTCTTTTTGTCATCATACAATTTGGCCAGACCAAAATCTGAAATTTTAGGGTTCAGATCAGAGTCGAGCAAAATGTTACTGGCTTTAACATCTCTATGTACAATTCGAAGTCGAGATTCCTCGTGCAGATAAGCAAGACCTCTTGCTACTCCCAAGCATATCTCAAAGCGTGTTGGCCATTCAAGAGATATACTTCTATTCCCTGTTCCAACAAAGCATAAAGATTCAGTCTCCAAGATATGGAAGTTACTTAATATGTAGCGTGGACAATGTGTCTCGTTCTTACCAAATAATACTTGATCAAGACTCTTGTTTTCGAGATACTCGTAAACAAGTAACCGTTTATCTCCCTCGATGCAGCATCCATACAATTTTACAAGGTTACGGTGCTGAACAGCAGATATAGTAGCAATCTCTGCAAAAAACTGACTCTTTCCTTGATGGGATGCAACAGACAATTGTTTTACGGCAACAACTCTTCCATCCTCAAGTTTTCCCTGTTGGTCGCAACATAAAAAGTTCAGATGAAATAATCTTATAAATAACGAAAAGAAAATCAAACAGGAATCAATAGGATTTGAATAACTTTATACATATTTGCTTCTGATACTATTATAGGTTGGGGGTATACAAATATACAAAAGGTAAAGGAGAAAATAACAATGGAGTGTGAGCTAAACATTGAGTGATAACGACACTGTGAAATACTAAAAACTAACAGGGACTTGTTCATCACCTTTCTTTCGTGTTCTTCTCATACTTCACGCGTTGGTTTATTATTCGAGGTATTTAATTATTCCACCAATCTATAATCTCTGATTTTAAATAATTCAGAATAGAAGTTACCCTGTACACAGGTCCAAATCCTCCTTCTCCAAGCTTATTATCAGGATTGAAGTCATCTGTTGCAGCTCTTAGCTTCGCATAATTAAATGTGTAAGGTCTTGCATCCATTCCCAAGAATTCTGCAAACTCATAGAGAAACATATGTTTATTTCCAAAAGGGCAGTGATTATTAATCCATCCCCAAGCTGATTCATTCCTTACCTCATACAATATAGTTCCATACAAGGATAGGCATTATAAGTCTGGGTATTAAGTAAATATGCATTGACCTGTCTATCTCATTTGGGTCATTTATAAGGTAATTTATTTCTCAAGTTAGAAAAGAAACAAAAAAAGAAGAAAAAGAAAAAAAAAAGAAATAAACAATTCAAGTCTCAAGTCTAAATGAGCATTGATAGAGCACTTCCAGTTCTAGTAATAACTAATAAACCAAAAGCATAGATGTAACAGTAACTCCAAAACTAGAAAGATACTTGGTCCACTATAGTTTTCCTTTATTACCTTCATCCTCATAGCTCTTCTTCTTTCTTCTTCTCTGAGCCAAATAGTATGCTACACATACAGAAAGAAAGCTTACAGCTCCTACAGCAACTACAATCCCAACAATCAGACCAGTCCTATTCTTCTTCCCACTTGGAGGACCGTTTCGAACGGTGGGAACGAAATCTGAGGAAAACCTTAGGGATCAGCACTCAATTCGTAAATTAGGAACCAGAGTAGCACATTTTTGCCAGTTGTCAAAATATTTCTGTATTCATATTTACCTGGGGTGGCACTTATTGCCGAAATAGAAGGTCCATATGTACCTTGATCAGGTACACAACAAGTCCCTTTTCCAGCCCAAAAGAGATGAATTTCAAGGTAGTTTTCAGACACTTGTACTTGCAATTCCCTTACAACAGCTCTCAAAGCAGTCCCACCAGCCTCTCTTAGTATGTCAAAGTCTTTCAACTCTCGTTTCCCCTGGTCCCCACAATGTGAAAATTATGTTCCATAATGAAACGGAGAAACTAATATAAAAATACTTGAGTTCTAAGTTAAATTATACATGTGGTAGATATATATAAGAACAATATGAAATGCAATGGCGTGACTAATAATATATGAAGTTGCAAATGACTGAAAAACTTGGAAATAGAACACGTATAGGTTCTTCGAATGAAGTTGAAGCTAATATATCAAAAGTAGTGCTTCGGGGACTCGAGAAAGATGAAGCCAAAACACATACCATGGCATTGATATCAAATATCAAACAGCCCATCAAGTACTACATGATGAAAGGTGAACTGGGGTTCTAGACAAAGATGAGGCTTAAAGAATGTAAACCAAATACATGATTATCAATCACATATACCCACCTGCTATTTTTTCTTTCTCAGTTTTATACTATCCTATCAATTGATGATAGTAAACCATTGTTTAGCTGAAGTACAATGAAAAATATGAAAGCTATAGTATTGATAAGAATTCATTTTTTAATACAGACCTGAACATATACATCAAAAACACGCTTTCCAAGACTCCTCCAAGTTCTAGTTCCTAGGATTTCGATCTCTGCAAACTGAAGTCTCACAGTGTAATTACCATTCTCAAGACCCAAGCCATAGTATCTCAAAGATCCAGCAGAAATTCGTGTAGTTTGAAACAACTCTGAATCCAAAGTATTCGTGAATTGGGACGAAGAGGATGTTTTATATTCAGGGTTGTTGCTATCAGCAGGCAGACCAACATTGCTAACTGCCCCCCTCTCTGTACTGATCATGTAATGTGTTGCCGGACCAAGAGTCTCATTATCCATCTCATACACAATCTGATCTGATGATTGAATTTGTGGACCACCACATTTGATTGCAAAGCTGGAATCTACAAACCGTCATCAGGGATGAGCTTGTCAATTATCAATGTAATTTGACAGAAATGCCAATTCTAAGAATTTGTTTGGAAACGACTTTGTGAACGATATTTAGGGCCTGTTTTGCATAATTTTGAAGAAGTATTTTCCTTCAGAAAATTCTAAGAAGTGCTTATTCTAAGAAAATCAAATGGAACTCTTGAAATTAAGATGAGCAACTATGAGTAAGCTGGAATAGGTTGTCAGGGCTTTTTGCTATAAAAAAATTTGTCCTTGTTGCTGAGCAATAATAAATGTCTTTTTTATCAAACAAAGTCATGCACAAGTCAACCAATTTTAGTAGATGTTTTTCTATTATTGTATTATGAAGCACCATACCCAATGACTGAATACCTTGACAACATTATTATGCAACGTCAATATCTATACAATATATTATCAAAATGTCAATCTGAAACACACATGCACACACCAAATAATGTATTAAAACTGCCAACAATATCTTTTTAATGTGCCGTGCTAAAATCTAGGTATACATAGAAATATAATAAAAGCCATAGTGTATCAAAACTGCTTACAGTTAGACACTCCTTGCATCTTTCTACCTTAATCAGTGACAACTTTGACCACATTTATGCATATTAAGACCCACAAACTTGTGATACAAAATTTACAAATAATTTTAATAATGCTATTTCGCATTTTTCAAAATTGTTAGAAAATATGGGGTCGTGGGTCGCCCATGTGGGGTGACTCAACCCCACAAGACATTAAAAAGGATTGGAAGGAGTAGTTTGAATCTAGAATTCAAACCTACGACTCCCCATAACTTCCCATAATTCCCATTTTAACCTTCTTTTATCTAGTATTTGGGAGAGAGAAAGATGGCAAGAAAACATGGTGAAATTCGCATTAAACATATCGCCAAAATTGGAAGGTAGAACCGCTATTTTAGCATGAAAACTCACACAAAGTGGCATTTAGGTTGTGGCTAATAATCCCCGTCCATTGTGATTGTGATTGAAACCATTGGAATGCAAGAAAATTGCATGTTTGAAGTTTTGAAAGGTAAGGTGATTCAACCATTTAAAAGATCTAGGAATTCATCATTTCGAGTAAGTATCTTGACCCAAAATTTATGATTATGTTACGTATTATTGCAAAAATAAATAACCAACAACATCAAATGTTAATTTTTTTAAAGAGAAATTTAATAAATTAGCATGTTCAATAATGGCATATATTCAGATGCACATAAATCAACAAACAACATCACGTAATTTTACTTTTTAACTCAATATTTGGGTAATTGGTGATGTTGTTGGTGATGAAGGAAGGCGTGAGGTAATTCATAGGGAACAGGTGGAAGAAAGAATTGTAAAGGTGTCAAAATGTACTGTACATAGAAAAACTTCACTAATTAGCGATAGTCATGAATAGAACACTTGAGCAAAGATATTGTAACGGTTGAAAAAATAGAAAGTCCACAGAAATGAAAAAGACAGCTTTTGTTAAGCAAAAAACAAAGAGAAAGCTAGCTTCTACTTATTTGAAGAAATGCAAAGCAGGCCGTTAATAGTTTCCATCAGTACATAGGTTTTTCATACTGTATACAAAGTTCTGCTGCAAACAATTATGTCACATTCTTTGTTGCATTTGGCTAATTTAAAGCTCCATGAAATGAGTTTTTTTGCACAGTAATGAACTCATGTTGCCCAAAAGAACTCCTTTTGAGGAGTTAGCCAAACATCCTATTAGTATTCACAATAGGAAAAGCAAGTTCCTTACTAGAATTTTCACCCTATTGAAACCTTACCAAGTTTCATGTTTGAAATAAAACTTATCACTTACAGATAGGCGATCCTCGATTGCAAGGAAAATTCTGTTGCAGACAATTCAATCCTGAAGGCAAAACACTAAAAAATGCAAGAGTGAATGTAATTAGGGAAAGTATCATCTTTGAGATAGAGAAGCACCAAGCATTAGTTTTGAGAATAAAAATATGTCAAATCTTTCACGATGAATAAATTGTGGTCCTAAAAAAGAAAGAAGAAAGTGCATTGGTAGTGAAACATCCATGCAAAGATAGTCATAAATACCTAAAGCAAGCACATAATAAAGGCATTGAAAAAACACATAATAAAGACCAAAATATTTTACTATAATTTTGTATGCTCCTTTTTGTATTAAGAACCATGGCAGCATAGACTTTCCTACATAATTTCTTCAGGTTCAGTGGCCAAGAAAACTCATCTTGTCCTCAAATTATTTCTTTCTCCTATTTACTAATATAAAATTTTCCAATTCATCAATGAATTGGTATATGATTATTAATTTTACAAGTACAGAGAATGAATGTGAAGCTGCTACCTGCTATGGCATATGACATATTGACGATGAGAATATGAACCAATTCTTCACGATTGGACATACATCTGGAAGTAATTTGCAACTAATAATCATATTATGTACTCCTTCTGGGAAATGGTTACTGATAAGTTGCTCTAACCAAAATTCCACAGAAAGATGGAATGCAGCAGGCATAGCTTTAGCTATTGACTGATCGTGCCATTGTTCAGTTATGAAGAAAATACATGTGGATAACTGATATAAACATCACAACAAAAATATATGTACATAAAGAAGCTCATAAAAGGTAAAGCCTAGGAAGTAAATCCATATAAGTTTTGTCACCATGAGTGCTTATAATATTCACCTTCCATTGGAATTGTCTATAGTGAAGCGGTTGGCAACCAAATTACTGCATAATACATCCAAGTAAGATTTCTATGTTAATGTTAGAAAAGGCAGTTTAAATGATGAGATGTGTCAAAAGGAACCATAGATCAGAATAATGAAAAGAAAATATAAAGAATATGTAGCAGCCTTGTTTTCATTCATACATACATTTGTAAATTTCGTTCACTGATCCATGTAGGGAAGCTCCCTGAAAATGAATTGTACGATAGATCTCTGCAAGGAATATAAGAACGATCTTAGGCAAATATTTCATGTTATAGATGACTTTCTTTAGCCCCTAGTTGGTAGAAATTAAAATCCAAAATCTAAGTCAAAGCCAACGATTAATTTTAACCACATATTTCAAAGTATCCACAACTTTTCAACCACACATTTCATTAATATTTATTAAAATCTACTAAAATCTAATTTTAATCCCCACCAAATAGGGGCTTAATATGAAAATATATGTTGTTTTCAATTCTTTTTTCTTTTTTTGTTTATGGCATCATATGTTGCCTGTAAAAATACTAACAAACGTAAAGCAAACTCCAATCAGATATCTTTAAATGCAATCAAAGATATAGTATACTATTACAACTCACGTGAAGAGTGTAGTCCAAACTCAATACTTGTAATTAAGAAATTTTAAAATTAAGAGTACTCATACACAAAATCTCGATAAGTTAGGATTATACAGCAAAAACATATGCCTCCAATTAATAATGAGATTGAAAGGCATACGATTGTGTCCGAGCCTTGGAGATCTAATCATGTATATGAAACAAAACAAAACAAAACAAAAAACCAAAAAAAAAAAAAAAAAAAAAGGAAAAGGAAGCAACTTATAGGAGTTTTTATTAGAACCACGTAAGATATGAACATATGAAGATCAATACTAACATGTTCCGGAGAGTTGGACCCTTTACTGCAGGCAGGGTACCATTCAAATTATTATTACCAAGAAACCTGAAGATGAAAAGGAAAAGCAAATTAGCACTCTATCCCTCACTCCCAATGTTGCTTTCTTCTCTTTCTTCAGGGTGGAGATTGGTGCAGTGAGGTGTCAATAACAAGTCATGCACGATTTATTACAAGTTAGTAAGTGAACTCAGATTGAAAAGTGAATTTGGGATGCGTCCAGTCAAATTGTTGAAGCTCAAATCCCTGAAAAATGAAGTTATAAAAGATTGCAAAGTAAGAAAATTAAAAGCTTTTGATCACACCTCTAAATGATAGTGATTCAATCAGCTAGCAAATATTAGCGAGTTCATTAAAGTGTAAACCCCATGTTAAGCGGTTCATGTTCTCAACTTCAGACTAAATATGTATTAGGTTGGACTGCACAATTGCCAATATACCATCTACCTTAGTGGAAGCTTATTACATTATTAAAAGTTATAAAACACAAGAAACTTACAACAGTTTTAAACTCCAATAGTCACCAATATTGGAAGGTATGGAACCAGAAATGTTATTATTACGCAAAACTCTGCCAAAAAGGAACAAGTTCATAAAAAACTTACCAGAACAACAGAATTTATTGGAAGAAAAAATACATCATATTAGTGCAGAATTATAATTTGTGTTATATACTTACAAGGTGCTTAGAGACGTCATATTGCTAAGGAAGTCCAGTGCAGAGCTTCCATTAGATAGATCACTTACTCTCCTGCTCGTCATATTTTAAAAATAATATTAGCTTTGGAAAGCTAAGAGAAGAAAGATTTTTGAAATAAATGAAGAAAGAAACAGGCCAATACTCACAAATCATTCAAAGAGGTCAAATTGGAGAATGATGGTGGTATTGGCCCTTGAAAGGAGTTCCCTTGAAACCTCCTGCAAACACATCATATTATAGCTGATCAACTATACATGAATTTTGAATCTAGTGCAATCATTGGTATGAAGATAGGAACGTGAAAGTTCTAGCAACATAAATCATAGTAAAAAAATAAATGATTTCTGTCTCACAGGGCAATTAGATTTGACCAACTTCCAATAAAGTCAAGAATACGACCAGTGAGTTCATTGTCTGAGGCCCACCTGAAATTTCCAAAAATTTATTCCAGTGTGTACTTGATCAGAGAAGACAATATATTAAATTTATCTATCACTAAAGAAGAACAAAGGAGCAGAGAGAATATGTTCTTACACTCTCTCCAATCCCGTTAGACTAGAAAATGTTGCGGGTATTGGCCCACTAACACCAGTGCTATCAAAGTAACTGCTAAGAAAATAACAGGTTTTCAATGAAAAACTTGGGAAGGAACCTTTTTCTTTTTCCTCGAACAAAAATAATTTTTGTCTCTTCTCATAATACAACTAATAAGATCGAGAAAATTTCTAGATGGTCACAAGCACTATGGAGTAGATTGAAATTGCCAAAAATAATAAAAAATAAATAAAAATAATACTTCAGAATTACAAATGAGCTCACCAACATGTATAAGAAGATAACTAGAATGCAAAAGGCAAATCAGGTCACAGTTGTCAAAAAGATGTCTTGAGTCAAGGAACAGAGAAAAATGGAAAAGAGCTAAAAGATATACGTTCTTGACATTGGTCCATGTCTACGTTAAGTCTAGAGATGATGTATGTCCATACAGATGTTAAAGCAGTAAAGCAACATAGAATCCTAAATGATAAAGCACGAAGAACTCCCTTAGTCATATTGGAACAAGAGAATAAGTGTGAAGTGACATCAAAACTTACATTTGAGTTAGTCTTGTTAAATTCCCAAGCTCATATGGTAGAGGACCAGAGAAATTGTTTGTGCTTAAACTCCTACACAAGCAAGTGGAAATCACAAATAAACAAGTACATAAATTTATATGTACATGCACGAATGGGAGCTAATTGGGGGTTTAAACCTCATGAATAAATCATATAAGTTCTTACAGCGATCTTAAGTCTGTTAACCTCCCAAGTTCCCTTGGAAGCTCCCCTGATAACGCATTAATTCCAATAGACCTGAAGCCAATAATCAAAATTTAGCAATATTTCTCATAACACTTAAAACGCTGTTAATTGACATGACTCCTAAGTCCTAAATCACAAACAATATAGCTTACAAGTACTGCATGCGAGTGAGAATTCCAATAGTTGCAGGCAGTGGACCTGTCAAATAGTTTTGGCCTAGATTTCTGCAATAGAAGTAGGGAAAACACCTATATCATCAGCATCTAAGAAATAACAATGTGGACAGACAAGTGAAAAAGTAGGAGCCAAGAAACTAATTAACCATCACATGTAATTGAGCAAATCAACTAATGAAAAAAAAAAAAAACATACATATTAGTAAGGTAAGTCAAATTCCAGAGCTCATTCGGTATTGGACCTACAACATCCAGTGCATAAACTCTCCTGTAAAAGTACGACGTTCGGAGCCAAAAATCAACATAAAATGATATTTCAAAGACTAATTTGGAATCGTTTAAAGTAAGTAATCAAAGTGAAACGAAATACAATTGGGTGAGAGTGTTTTCAACCCCACAACCAAAGAAAAGTAGAGGGGAACTCACAGTGCAGTAATGCGGCAAACGGTGCCATTGTTGAAAGAGCAACCACATTTAATACCCGGATTGATAACGTCAATTGCTGTATCATCAGTTGCAACTCCATCGCATAATTCGCCGCTAATGTTCCATCCTTGATTTGTTCCAGAAATTCCCCAACGCTGAAAAATAGAGTTCAAAGCTCTTGCTGCAAAATTCGAAAGCATGTTACAATTACCATTTTATTTTACCCGATTCAAATTGAGATGTAATTAATTACTAAGTAACCAAATGTGGAGATGGTCCCATGAAAACAAATGAAACCAAATTTGAGTTAAGTATAATAAAGAAAAAAACTTGTAAAATGAAGGAAAAATGTGAATAATAATAATAATAATAATAATAATTATAACAATAAATTGCAAAGTTGATTAATCCTGAGTATAAAAGAAAATTAGCATCATTAATTTGTTGAGTCTATCACTATTTGTTATTTTGACCAAGCCCCTTGTTCGGTGTAGGGTAACTCAATTTTAATAACACATTTTATTATGGAATTCATAACTTTCAATCTCATATATTTTTTTTCTTTTTTTTATCAAAATTTGTTAAAAATTTTAATCAATTGTGATATATGTACATTGCAACTTATAAATTTATTTATCAAAACCTTGACAACCAAATACAAAAATAATAATGTTATTTAACACCAATTTAGATTGCTATATTTTATAGGTTCAATTAAATGAGCCGTGAAACTTTGTATTTATATGAATCAATTATTTAATGTTTTAATTAAATTAGTAGTTAATATCAATGGTAATGAATAATATTACTCATTAAAAAAAAAAGAGTTATGCTACATTTACATTTAGTTTGATAAAAAAATTGACAATAATGAGGTGACATCACTGACGTTCATTTTGATCTTTGATTTGAATAACCACATCATTGTACAAAAGTGTAAGCAATTTCTGTACAATTAGGTTAATTGTAAAAAGAATTCCTCACTCTTTTTTTGAAATCTCGTCATCAATCTATAAAAAATTATGTAATGATGACGTACAAGTAACTAACATTTTTTTTAGAAAAATAATGGGAAGTGTCAAACCTTGTAGGGGGCCAATAATGAATTTCCCAAGGAGATAACTGAAACTTAGGGGATTCAACGTGTAAGAGTCAAGTTTTTTCAACCTATCTTATTTGAATGAAAAAGTCATATGGTCAAAGTTGGAGACAGGAGGAAAACAAGGCGCCACCAGTGTAACAAATATTGTTTACGATAAGTAGAAATTGTTAAAAAAAAAAAAATGCAACAATAGTTCAATCACATGAAAAATGTTGACTATTCTTTTAGCCCAGTTTAGCCCTATTACATTAAATTTTATTTTTTTCTCTCCTATTTTCAATCACATAATCTTTCATAAAATAATATTACAAGTTAACCAGAATAATTTTAATTTTTTTTTCAACTATTCATTGTTAAAAAAAAATAATATTCCACCCATTTTAATTTGAAGATATATAGTGTGTTTGACCAATATTTTTATTGAGAATATATTTTATAATAGTAGTTTTTTTAAGAATATATAGTTAAAAAATTGAATTCAGGTATAAAATTATTTTATTAGGAGAATGTGGGGTTGAAAATAAGTTGAGAAAAATAAGCCTTTTGAAGAATGGGAGTCAAACAAGTTTTCCGGATTGAGAACCGAATTTCGTTTTAGTTTCTCGAACAAATTAAGAAAAAAATCATCCATTTGGATTAAACTGTGTACAACAGAGTAACAGCATGAAGACTGTGTGAAGAAATCAAGAAACTAAGAAGAACTAGAAACAAAAATCTTATAAAAAGAACCAAGTTCTCAAACATTTAAATAAAAATTCCGAAAAATTTGCAATACAACTGTGTAAAATTAGTAAATTACACACATACAGATACACTGATACAGAGAGAGAGAGGAGAACCTTCAGATGGATCAACGGTGGCATTTCTTGTAGTTTGAGCTCCAGCAATCTCCAATAGGAATAAGATTATTAAAACACAGTAGAAGCCTTCCTTTAGAGGCGACGGCGCGTGAGAGCCCAGCTGGTGGTGCAGCTTCTTCATCGCACACCAGTTTCGTCTTCCTAGATGAGTTCTTTTAATTTGGACAACACAACAAAATATCAAATTTTACACAGAAAGAGAGAGAGAGCACTGATTTGTGGAGTTGATGCCACTAATTGTTTAATCAACATATCCTTATCGCACAGGCTATATAAATAACAGTGAAGCTACACGTACAGTAACACAGGTCCCTGCCAGGCGAAAAAGAAGTGGGAATGGGTTCTACAAATTTTTTATTTTAAATGCATGTAGGGCTCGCCCCCAAACGCTGATACGGCTGTAAGGCCCCAACGAAAATATACCTGTACGTGCAGCTTTTTTCTAAAAATAATGCAGATATTTCTGACTTAAGGAAATCCAATATCCATAGCGTGCTCAGGCGCCACTATTTCGGCGGTCAATACAAGGGTGCTGCATGCTTGCGACTCCAGCACCAAGCGTTCATACGAAGTGAGAATGCAGACCACTTTCAGGACACTTCTAAGAGGCTCGTGTTTAAGCTCATATCTGGCGAGATTAAAATTTAAATTAACAATTAATTTTAACTGCATGTACATGAAATCTACAATTTTTAATTATACATTTTATAAATTTTTATCAAAATCTACTAAAAATTCAATTTTAATCCTTACTAAATGGGGGCTCAAACTTATTTTTCATGTTTAAGAAAAAAAGGAAAATAAGTTACTAATCTTAAACATGAGTATGGCCAAGTTTAAGTTACTTTTAAATAATTTCACTCTTTCTAGTCATAGTAAAAGTGCACAAATCATTTTATTTTGTATATTTTACTTAGCTCATGCTGTTGGAGATTAAGCCATTGTTTGTCTTCCATCAAAAAGGTTTTTATTTTTTGGGGAAAAATGAGTTTTAGAATAGTGATTTATTTATTTATTTATTATTAATATTATTAATTTTTTTTTGGAGAATGTGTGGTTAAAAATAAAAAAAAATAAATTGAATTTACATGTAAAATAATATTAATGTGTGGTTAAAAATGAATTTTAGAAGAGAAAAAAAAATGAGTTTTGATTTAATGAAAGACAAACAAAGAGCTAACTTAGAAAGTCATGAATGAATTATTGAAAAATTAGTTATATATACCTTTTGTGAATGGTAATTAGCACAAAACGTACTTACCTTTCAACGTTATCGTGCAAGATGTCCCTACATTTCATTTTTTGACATTTTTAAGCCTACTTTCACCTTTCATTGTGAAAATCATCCCTTTCGTCTAATTTTTTAATTAAAAAAAATGTAAAATAACCAGTATATTCTCATATTTAAATAAAACCAAAAAAAGAAAAGAAAAATTAACGAGCAAATTGCAATCATACCCCCGAACTTTTTTAAAGAGAGCAAACTAGTCTAAATAAATTATTAAAATGATAATTAGCACAAAACATTCATAATTTGCAATATTATTGTGCAAAACGTCAATATCTTTCATTTTTGGCATTTCACTCTTATTTTCACATTTCATTGCGAAAGTCATCAATTTTCATCCATTTTTTCAATTGAAAGCTATAAAATGATGAATATACCCTCCTATTTAAATAAAATAAAAATAAAGAACAAATTGCAACTATTTTTTAATTATTTATTTGAAATTTATTTTTACTTTTTCAAAAAATTTGAGATTATAGTTACAATATGTTCTTTATTTTTGTTTTATTTAGGCCAATTGATTTCATTATAAAAACAAAGAAAAAAATAAAAAATTATTGAATCGTAGTTCGATTTGATCATCTTGAAATCAAAATCAAATGGAATCATGTCAAACTTTAAGTATCACAATACTAACTTAAATTGTTAGTAGACAAATTATAGCTGCGATTATCGTACAAATTTAACCTTTAAAATATAACTTATCATCCAGACCATCCTCCAATCTAGATCCTCCTCATAGATTTCCATACCATGATTAGTTTGTTGGGCTGTCGATCAAAAATCAAGGTCAACTGAAGATTTTTATTTTCATTTTTTGTTGTTGTAACAAACACAAATATTAAAGAAATTTATACGTTGCTTCCAAATAGAATAATCAAACTTTAGAAAAGAAATAAAAGAAACTCTCATATAAGTCAACCACAACCAGCCCATGAGATAATAGTCAAACTTAATGCTTTTCCTTTAGCTTCAGATTTTTCTTTTTTTGACTAATATTCGAATACATCTTTTACAAATTAAAGAGACATTTACGAATTTTTTTGCATTACCGTTTTGTTCTTTTACATTGTTAAGACTTTGTTTCCAAAAAAAAAAAGAAAAAAAATGATTTAATACCTAAACCATCTTTATAAAGAAATAAAAAAAGTTAAAAGATCCTAAATTTCATCTTTTTCAGCCCCTAAATGTATTACGGAAATTGAGATTTGAGTTATTCTATACGATAGAATTTTCACAAAATTTGTACAAATACAGAATTATCATTTTTTATCGACAATTAGCAAGAAGAAAAGGCTACCAATTACAGCACCTGTAAAAATTTTATGCAAAGGAAGTCTGTATACATATGGATGTCAAACGGGTTGAGCAGTTCGTCGACTCGTGGGTGGCTCGGGCTCGTCAAATGATGAGCCCGAGCCCGAGCCCGAGCCCGAGCTGAGCAGGGGGCTCAATCCCACGAGCCATTTTTGACAAGCCCACGAATCGTCAAAAATGTGAAAATTAAAAAAAAAGTCAAAAAATGTGCCAAAAATTCAAAAAAATCACGAGCTTGCGAGTGGCTGGTGGAGTCGGCTGGGCTTGGCTCGCGAGCTCATGGCTCGTGAGTTCACGACGGCTCGTCTTTCACGAGCAAGTTAAAGGGTCGAGCCGAGCCATTGCTATCCCTACATATACATGACTTTGTCTTGACATTTAATCGAGTAGTTGTGGCCTGTGGGAAAGGGCCACCACTGTCTGGGGGACTGGGTTTGGCCACAGGGGATGATGTAGAATATATATTTTATACTTAAAGTTAATTTATGTATTAAACATTCATTTCAAAAAATATTTTATATTTGAAAATTGTTTTTTTTATTTTTTTAAATTTATGAAAAGCAAACCTAGAAAATAGTTTTACAATTTTAGCAAGCATTAATAACTGTTAAAGAATTAAAAGTGAATCAAGGCACAAAGCCAGGAATGTCCTTCAATCATGTCAGTCAACCACCATCAATTGCTGTTAATGTATTTTCCATTTATACAGGAGTATGAATAGGCAATGACAATGTATATGCTTTGTTTTAGGACCTAAATTGATTCTCGTATGATGTATATATACACCTTTTTATTTCTCAATGAAACATACAAGAATTATTTTCCTTTTCATGGTATTAGAGTCAGAACAATTCTGAGCCTTATTTCCTTTCCCTTCCCAATCACAGCAAAGGCCGAACATGGCAGAAAATGACAGTCAATTGATCCAAAACTCAGCCAAGCCTGAGGCCAACGAATACGACAATCCAAATCTAATTGATCAACGAGAGCGCAAGAATAATTTCTCCAAAGCTAATCATGTGGATGCCAATATAACAGCACCTCCCACGCCTTTCACTCTCACGGCAGAGCAATACCAGAACCTCATGGCGGTGCTTGATAAGAACAAGTCCAAATCCATGGCTAATCATGTTAGTAGTACATCTGCTATAAGTGATCTCTCAGGTATAACCTTCCGTGCTCCCATTATTGGTCAAGAAATTCGTTGGATACTTGACACAGGAGCTACCGATCACATGGTTTGCTCTGCTGACTTATTAACCACAAAATCTTGTGTTACTGATCGAACTGTATATCTCCCTAATGGAACACTAGCGACTGTCACACACATAGGCAGCATTCATGTGGCTGATTTTACATTACATGATGTGCTTTGTATTCCTTCCTTCAAATTAAATCTCATCTCTATTAGCAGACTTGTTTGCAATTCCCATTATCTTGCCACATTTATTAAGAATACTTGTATGCTACAGGACCAACGATCGGGGAAGATGATTGGGATGGGAATTGAACAAGGAGGACTTTACTACCTTGATACTACGCAGAAAGCCAGATGCAACTCAGCTATCTCAACAACCTGCCAACTTTGGCATAAACGCCTTGGTCACCTTTCAAATAAGAGTCTACGTTTACTTTCCCATTTAGATACAAAAATAAAATTTCATGATGTTTCTGATTGTTTAATTTGCCCATTAGCCAAACAAACTCGTTCTAAATTTTCATTAAGTTCAATTCATGCTCATGCACCTTTTGAATTAATTCATGTTGATATTTGGGGAGGATACCATGTTCCTGCAATCAATGGGGCACAATATTTTCTTTCTATTGTGGATGATTACATTCGATGTACATGGGTTTATTTGATGAATCATAAATCTGACGCCTCTAAATACATAACCTCATTCATCAATTTAATTGAGACATAATTTTCCTTAAAAGTCAAAATTCTTCGTAGTGATAATGGCCCTGAATTTACAATGAGAAAATTTTATTTAGATAAAGGGATCATTCATCAAACCAGTTGTGTCTCTACTCCACAACAAAATGGAGTAATGGAGCGAAAACATTGTCACCTCCTAAATGTGGCCCAAGCTTTGCTATTTGAAGCCAATCTTCCCAAAAAGTTCTGGGGAGAAGCCATTTTAACTGCTACATATCTCATCAACTGAACACCTACACTTCTCCTAAAAGGAAAAACACCCTTTGAGATGCTTTTTCACAAACAGCCCACATACGACCATTTGCGAGTTTTTGGATGCTTGTGTTTTGCCTCAACACACCATCATCATCCCTCAAAGTTTGATGCAAGAGCCACACAATGTCTCTTCTTAGGCTATGCATATGGCCAAAAGGGATATAGACTTTATGATCTCTCAACTGGTAAAGTTTTTGTCTCACGTGATGTTTTGTTTCATGAAAATATTTTTCCTTATTCATCTTCCACCATACGTTCCTCTCCAATTTTTCCTAGTAATCAACTGCCAACATATGATGATGACAACCCTACTCCATCATTTTCCCCACAATTCAATGCTGAACCAATACCATTAGAACTTATCTCTCAAGAAACTCCTCCTTCAAACTATGTCACTGACACTATCTCCTCTGATATTACTTCGTCTACTACCCAACACT